AGGAGGAGAACAAACAGCAGCTGGGTCGTGGCCTGAGCCTCCTCCACTCCACGACACTTCTCAGCCACAGCCTGGCCTGAGCTTTCCTCCAGGCTGGAAGTGAGGGTTTTCCTCTGGAAGCTTCCCGTGTCTTCTCCTATCCTCAGCACTAGCCATGCATGGCTTCCATTCCAGTCTCTCTTCCTGGACCACTCTGCCAGTAGAGACCACTATGTCTGCCCAGGAACACAGTGGGGGTTGGGGGGAGTTCCATCCTAGAACCTCCAGTCTGAGAGATGAAGCCTTGTTAGGAAGCACATGAGTCTGACTGTCTTTACCATGAGTCTGTTTGTTTCTGTCCTTGGGACTGCTTAGTTGGAGCTAGAGGCAGTGGAGAAGGAAAATTGGGGCTGGAAGGTGGCCCTTCTAAGTCCATCTCCCCCCATCCCCCAGGGGCTGTTCTGTGGGGACCACCTTAGCCTGGCTTGCCAGCTGCCCCTGTTGCAGGAGCAACCTCTTCATGCCCTAGACTGGACATCAATTTTTCCAACTGTGTCTGCTCACAGCCTCTGTAGGGGCTGGAGCCTAGGTGCTGGAGGTAGCTTTCCTCCTAGCCTGTACCCAAGTGGTCAACCAAGGGAACCAAGGGATGCCCCAGGTCTTGCCCTGGTACCCAAGTCCCCAAAGTCAGGCCTGGCTCCTCTCTCTTTGCTGAACCCTCCTCTGCCATAATGTGAGAATGCTTGATGGGGGTTTTCCTGCCCACAGAAGACTTCCACACACAGTCTGAAGAAAGGGGCCACATGGTAGCTAAGGAAATGGTTTGTCTTGTCAAAAGGCCCACAGCCAGTCTGTGTGTGTGTTTTGGCGGGGTAGATTCTAATGGAGACTGTACCCTGTGTTGCCCACTCACCTTTCCCCTCGTGTGGTCTGAGCTTGCTGTGGATGTGCACAGGATTCCAGGGACCCCTCAAGGGAGCCCAGCCTTGCCTCATTTCTGCAACTGGGTCCAGGGCAGCCTCTCCTTCCTGCCCTCGTTTCCAGGTGTCTTACTGTCATTGGCAGCCCAGCTGTGCCTGTTGCTGACTGTCCTGGCAGGTGCTGGCTGGGCCAGAGACTGCTGTCACTCTGGTGGAGTTATTTTTAAAGTCATAACTGGACATCAGTCTGCAAGACAGTTTGGATTGAGGGTGCCTGATGTTTGTGGCCTGACTGGCTGTTCAGAAGGGAGACAGGCATGAAGGACATTGGCTCTTCCCCAGTCTGGAAGTGGTGAGGGAAGGGTCCTTTGCATACCTCTAAGGGCCTGTGTCTTCTCTCTTCCTGTCCTTGAGCTGCCCCCCACTCCACCCTGTGATCTCTAAGCTGGCTTCTTCCTCTCTGATGCCAACAATGGAGCAGAGCCCTGCAGCTAAACAAAGGCCCACCATTCAACTCGGAAACCCGCCCTGTCTCTGTCTCTGTCTCTGGCCTGGTGCCTGGGCCAGGCCCCGACACTGTCTCTTCCACTTCCACCCTGGTTCTGTTCATGGGCATTACAGAAGGTCTAGCTCTGCGTCCAGGGTGGAGAGGGCCGAGACCAAACTGGGTGTGGTCCCTCCACCTTGGAATGACCAAACCTGTGCTTTTGTTTCTTGTGGAAGAATTTCCCAGGTTTTCCTGCAGAGTTGGCAGGGAGAGGGTTGAAGTTGATTGACAATCCTACCTGATGGCTGACTACCAGTCTTGCTGTTGTAAGAATAGTTGTCTTTGTCAGGTGTAGTGGCGCACGCCTTTAGTCCCAACACTTGGGAGGCAGAGGCAGGTGAATCTTTGTGAGTTCCAGGCCAGCCTGGTCTACATAGTGAGTTCCAGGTCAGCTGGGGCTACAGGGAGAGAGAGAGAAAAAAAAAAAGAATAATTGCCTTTGGAGAGTTGTGATGCGAGTCCCCTCTCTGGCCCTGCCCGTGCTCAGTCTTCCCTTCACTCACATGGGAATCCTGTTCATCTCAGAATCAGAGGCATCAGTGCTTCTTTGAGATCATGGGGCCAGCCTTTCTGTAGGTGAAGTGCAGAGAGGGTAAGAAATCACTCAGGGACCCTCAGCGTATGTGTGGCAGAGCTGAGAACAGATCCTGAGGTGACCACTGTACCTCCAGGTGTTCTTCCTCCACCTGTGAGCACCCACGGTCATATCACCCTCCCCCCTCCTCCCCTTGGCCAGAAGGCTCAGCTTCCCCTAAATTCCAATGGTAGACTAAGTGCTGGTTCTCCAGTAAGGCAGATCCAGTTTTGAGTAGAGTGCCACCGTTTCCAGAATGTGGAGCCTCAGTTTCCCCACTTTGGAGAATAGTTGTGAATAAGCATGGTTCAGATTCACTGGCTATTAAAGCAACTGGATGCCAGGCCCCTGATATCCTTTGACCTTTGCCTTGCCCTGGGCAGTTGTCCAACCCTCTGGTTCCTTTGGCTCCAGGCCTGGGCAGCTGGAACTGAGGACTGTCCTGCAAGCAAACCCCTCTCCTGTGGCCAGCCTTGACTGCAAATATTTGCTGCTAACCTGAGGTTGGTCCTGTGATTTGGTGTAGCCCCTGCTTCCTGTCTCACTGGGCCCCAGAATTAGATCACTGTCTCTCTGGAAGGCAGATTTCTGGTCAGACTGGGGAGTTGATGCCTACCAGGGCTATTGACTGACAGCTCATCCTGACCCCTGATCAGTGCACAGCCTCCTCAAGGACTCCACGTGGCAGGGTATCTGGAGGGTGGGTGCCACCAGGCTTCACCTTCTCTAGTGCTTAGGGGTCTAGTTTCCTCCCTCCCCTTCTGGGGATGGCTTCTGTGACCCACCTATTCCTCCCAAGCTTCTAGATTCTCTCTTGAGATCTACCCTTGGGGCAGGGGGCAGGATGCGGGAGGCAGGGGAAGCTCCAGGCAGGATTTTCCCGAATCTGCCTCCTCCAACCCCCTGATTTCCTGCCATTGGCCTTTCTCTGCTGCTAGGGCTGGGGGAGGGATTGTGAGAGGGTGGGGATGTGGGTCCCTCCTGAAATAGCTTCTCCTGGCAAGTGTCTGGGAGCAGCTGTGCACAACTGGTGGCACAGAGCCTGCTGTCAGTAGCCTGGGCCTGCTTCTGTTTATCAGCCCCAAACGAAACTCTGAGTCACCAGGGTGACGGGAGTAGGGGAAAGAGGCAGCTGGGAGCTGGTCCCGCTCCTGCCTCTGTCTGTTTTAGGAGTTCACTTGTGGAAGGGGAGGGGCTATGTGGCCTATGAAAGGTAGGAAGAACATTTGTCAAGGTCTCTCTCTCTCTCTCTCTCTCTCTCTCTCTCTCTCTCTGTCTCTTTCTCTCTCTCTGTCTCTCTCTCTCCTCCATGTAGCCTAAACTGGCTTCCAACTCCTGATCTTCTCACTCCAGTCTCCTAGGTAGCTGGCTTGACAGGTGTGTCCTACCATGCCCCTCTCTTGTCATGCTCCGTGAAGGTGGCTGTCACTCAGAAGAGACCCCAGTGGCACCCCAGTGTACCAGCTGTCCCACCCTTATTCTCACAGGTCCCCCTTCATGGTGGAATAACCTGTTTGTGATGCTGGGAGCCACCCTGTTTCATGAATGGACTAGCCTGGGGTCTGCTTGTATCTGGGGCCACACTGGGAGTGCAGAGGCCACAGACTTAGGTATCATGCTTGCCTATGCTTGGTTCCTTCTCTGGACCCATTTCTAACCAGTTTCCACATCTATAAATTGGAGAACAGAGCATGTGCTTTGAAAACTATGTGTGAGGATGATGGCATCTGTGAGGGGCCTCAAGGCATTTGTGAGGGGTCTGGAGACATTTATCAGGGATCTGGAGGCTTTTGTGAAGGGTCTGGAGGCATTTGTGAGGGGTCTGGAGGCATTTGTGAGGAGTCTGGAGGCATTTGTGAGGGGCCTGGAGGCGTTTGTGAGGGGTCTGGAGGCATTTGCGATGGGGCTGGCAGCTTATGTGAGGGGTCTTGTGGGCATTTCTGAGAGGTTTGGGCACGTAGTAGGCCCTTGGAGCTTCCCTTGTCTCTCCCTGGCTGCTGTGTCTGAGGGTCAGTGCCCAGGACAGTGGGGCAAAACAGACCAAGTGGGAAGCTTCAAAGTAGGTCCAGATGCTTATGATCCTTCAAGTGGCTCCAAGTTCTCAGCAGAGCAGGGTGAGATTCCTGAATAGCAGTGACCACCCCAGAGGCTTGCTCCACTCCATACCATTAGCCAGGGTTCCAGGAAGAAGAAGCTAAGCAAGCACCCAAGGGACAAGACAGTACCAACGGCAACACCCTAGCCCTCAACACTGAGCATCTACTGTGTACCAGTGCCATAGTGGGTCCTTCTTGAGCACAGTACTCATAGCAACCTGTGACAGAGGTGGTGGAACCTGGTTTACTGTCGCTGACACTCAACAGGGGTGTGGAATTGGCTGGGGAATAAGCCACTGAGATTTGAACAGGTCTGTGATGCTCAGAATGCTGGGAAAGCTGAGCACTGAAAAGAGTGGAGCTCTTGATTGGGCTTGACCTTCTGGAAAGTGAGATTCAGGAACTCTTGAGCCTGGAGCCAGGGGCGCCCCAGAGAAACCTGTCTGACCGCTTCCTTACTCCACCCAGTCCCTCATCCAGTAGCTGGCTGGGTGCCTCTGCCTCTGTAGCTTTTCCCAGGGAGCCCCAGTGTAGGCCAGAGCAGGTCTGCAGGGCCCCAGAAGCTGCTGGAGGCCGTGTACCTTCTGCTACTGGAAGTGTTGGGTTGGGATGGCCATGGGAGTGAGCCCAGACCAAGCTGAGGCATCTGATTCTTTCCTGTCCCCACACACCAGAGTTGGACGTGCCTCTCTTCAGCTCTACAGTGCCCAAGCCATCTTCTTGTGGGCGGGCCCCTTCTCCACCCCTTCACCTTGCTGTCTGCAACTCTGAGGCCTTTGGAGTTATGGTGGAGTGAGGGGAGAAGGGCCTGGGCTGTGTTGAAATCTGGGGTTAGGGATACTCATCCAGCCAGCTGACAATATGTCCTTGCTTTGTGTCCCCAGCAGCCATCATGGAGGTGATGAACCTGATTGAACAACCCATCAAGGTGACCGAGTGGCAGCAGACGTATACCTACGACTCAGGCATCCACTCCGGTGCCAACACCTGTGTGCCCTCAGTCAGCAGCAAGGGCATCCTGGAGGACGATGAGGCCTGTGGGAGGCAGTACACGCTCAAGAAGACCACCACCTATACACAAGGGGCACCCCAGAACCAAGGTCAGGACCTCCGGGGGCTTTTCCATGGGGCAGAAAATCTGTTTGGGACTTGGAGGGAGGTTGAGTCAAGGGGGGGGGTGTGTGCCCTGGTTTGAAGGCAGTGGCAGAATTCTCACTCTTGGGAACTCAGGAAGTCCAAAGGGGGAGGTGTGGCTCCTCTAGGGACAGTTGCAGTCTGTGAACCCCTGAGTATGAAGGGAGGCAGAGACCTCTGCCCTAGGGTGCCACTGGTCAGAAGACGAACCGCAGTTCTTGCCTTCCGGGAGCTTAGGAGCATAATAAGACTTAACTGTTGCCCTCGGGGAAGCTGGGGATTATGGGAAGGCACATCCTTTTCCACTCCAGGAGCTTCATGTGTAATGGAAAAGTCGGGGGGCCCCCAGTCTGGTGGAGGAGGTGCAATGCTCAAGCCTAGACTGGGCCAGCATGTGATGTACAGATGCATGGGGACAGGATGAGTGGCTAAGTCAGTTCTGGGTTTCTTTCACAAAGAGGGATGCTCCACTAGTTCAGGTGCCCCTTCCCTTCTGGGACAGGGGTACACCTGTCATTCACAGATGCTTCCAAGGCCCCGAATACTCCAGGGCGATGAGTTTTGGGGCCTGGACATATGCAGGATGAGCTGTAACTGACTGAAGCTCTATGAACCATTCCTCATGTTCCACGTTTCCTACCTGCCCATAGACAGAAGCTTCTGTGCCTGGTGGGGGGTAGGGGGTACACGTGCCCACTGAGAACTAAGAACATAGCATCCAGGTGGGAAGGCCATGTGGACGTCTCCTCTTGCCCCATTAATTAGAGGACAACCATCTGCCCGCCTCTCGTCTGAGGCATTGGGACATGTGCCAGGGAAGGGCTTTCTGGGCCTTTATTATGGGATGCCTACCTGAAGTAGAACCCGATGTCTCTGTCTGCTCCTAATTTCTGAAAGCCACGGTCCTGAGTCAAGATCCCTGAGTGGGATCTTGGTTGGTGCTTTAAGCCTGATTTTGCCTGTCTATGCAGGGAGAAAGTTGCTGCTTTGTTGGGGGTGAATGTATAACTAGAAGGACAACGTTTAGCCCATCTGATCCTATGACTACCCTGATGGTTACAGGAGGAGGGGCAGGGCTTGGGGTCTGGCTGCCTTATGACCTCTGTGCTGAGGGTTCTGCAAAGTGCAGAAGTAATCCATCTGCTTTGTGGCATTGCTGTCAGATTAAATGAGAAAATAGAAGAAGGGTCTTAATCTACTGCCAGGCACAGAACTACCCCCCAAAGACTATACTAGCTATTCTCCTTTGTTTTAAATATTTATTTATTTAAAGGCAGGTTCTTACTATATGGCCCTAGCTGGCCTGGAACGTGATATGTAGCCCGGACTGGCTGTGAACTGGCCAAGATCCACCTACCTCTGATTCCTGAGTAGTGGGATTAAAGGCACACGGTTTCCTTTTATTATTTATGTGTGTATGTATCTGTGTGAATGTATTCACACCTGTGTATAAGGGTGCCTGTGGAGGCCAGAGGAGAGCATTAGATCCCTTGGAGCTAGAGTTACTGGTATTTGTGAGCTGCCCAACATGGGTACAGGGATCCAAACTCTTGTCCTCATGACAGAGCAGCAAGCACTCTTAATCACTGAGTCATCTCTCTAGCCCCCGTTTTTGTTTTGAATCAAAGTCTCATGTAGCCCAGGCTGTCTTGAATTTGATATGTAGCCAAGGAAAACCTTGAACTTCTGAACCTCTTACCTTCATCCCCAAAGTGCCGGAATTATGTAAGTGTTCCACCATGCCTAGTTTTCTGCAGTGTTGGGGATTGTTCTGTGCATGTTAGGCAAACACTGCCAATTGAGCTACATCTCCAGCCCAAGTTGACCTTGATTACTGCTGAGCTGGGCATGGTAGCAAAGGCCTGTGGTTTCAGCTCCTTGGTTGGCTGAGGCAGGAGGATTGCAAGTTCAAGGTTTGCCTGGGTAACAGAGCAAGTTCAAAGTCAACCTGGGAAACTTAGTGAGACCCTATCTTAAAAAAAAAAAATTACGTTTTAGGGCTGGAGAGATGGCTCAGCGGCTAAGAGCACTGGCTACTCTTGCAGGGGACCCAGGTTCGATTCCCAGTGCCCACATGGTGGCTAACAACATATTTCCAGTTCCAGGGGATTTAACACCCTCTTCTGACCTCCTCAGGCATTGCAAGACATGGGTGCACTTACACGCATGCAGGCATAACACTCATACACATTAAAAAAAAAAGTTTTTAAAAAAATGCCTAGAAACATAGCTCAGTGGTAGAGTGCCTGCCTAGCAAGTATGAGGCCCTAACTTTAATCCCTAGTACTATATGAAAAAAAGAAAAGAAAAGAAATTGCTGCTGACATTTTCATAATGTTCTCATAATGTCAGTCAGGCAAGCGACTCCAGAGCAAGTCACAACTGTGATTTTATTTAGTTATCATAACAATTCCTGTGCTGAGTGGACTAGGTGGGCCCTGGGCTATAAATGAGGAGACAGAGGCAATGGCGATCTCCCTGGTAAGGGGTAGAACTGTGAGTGATGCTCCGTTCTTTGGTGGGGCACAAGGCAGCCCAGAGCCCTGTCTGCATGGCTTACTCTGTCCCTCAGACTCCCCTCAACCCTTCCCCTGTAGCTCAGTCCCCTTGTCATTCATCCTCCAGGTGACCTGGAATACCAGATATCCACAACAGCCAGAGCCAAGCGGGTACGGGAGGCCATGTGCCCAGGTGTGACGGGTGAGGACAGCTCCCTGTTGTTGGCCACCCAGGTGGAAGGACAGACCACCAACCTGCAGCGACTGGCTGAGCCGTCCCAGCTGCTCAAGTCCGCCATTGTGCATCTCATCAACTACCAGGATGATGCTGAGCTGGCCACCCGGGCCCTGCCTGAGCTCACCAAGTTGCTCAACGATGAGGACCCGGTCTGTGAAGGACTTGGAAGTGGGGTGGGAATGAAGTCACATGTCCCTGGGGGAAGGAGGTCCTGATCTAGACCCTACGAGCGTCTCAAATCTGACTTGGGTCACCTGAGCTCTGCAGAAGGGTGTCCTGTCCCGTGCCCTTGTCTCCATGGTAATAAAGCCTGGCCCATCTTTTCAAGTCTTGAATCTATCCTCCAGGTGGTGGTAACCAAGGCAGCTATGATTGTGAACCAGCTGTCCAAGAAGGAGGCATCTCGCCGGGCCCTGATGGGCTCACCCCAGCTGGTGGCAGCCGTGGTGCGCACCATGCAGAACACCAGTGACCTGGACACAGCCCGCTGTACCACCAGCATCCTGCATAATCTCTCCCACCACCGCGAGGGGCTGCTGGCCATCTTCAAGTCTGGAGGCATCCCTGCCCTGGTCCGCATGCTCAGGTACTTGCCCTTCCTCAGCATGGGAGCTAGGGGCCTCCCTGCCTCCCTTTTCTGAGCTTCCAGACATATATATTGAGCACCACACCCATCCTGAAGCTCAGCTGTGCCAGCCTAGCCCAGAGATAGGAATAAACAGCAGGCTGATTGTCAAGATATAATGTAGGTTGTGTCCTGAGATTGCCTAGAGGCAGAATCACACTGACAGGGAAGACTGAGGAGACAGAGACAGGAGGATCCCTGGGACTTGCTGGCCAGCCAGTCTAGCTTAATTGGTGAACTCCAGGGCCAGTAAGAGACTCTATCTCAAAGGACATGGATAATGTTCCTGAGGATGGCACCCAAGGTTGTCTTTTGGCCTACATACACACACACACACACACACACACACACACACACACACACACACAGAGGCATATGGGACTGGGGGTTGGGCTCAAAGAATGATGAGATTTGAGCAAAGGGATATTCACATGGGGGTGCTGACTTGGGGCAAGCTGCCCTGGTTGCTGACTCAACCTGGCCCTGTCCACCCTCAGTTCCCCTGTGGAGTCTGTTCTATTCTACGCCATCACCACGCTGCACAACCTGCTGCTCTACCAGGAGGGTGCCAAGATGGCTGTGCGCCTGGCAGATGGGCTGCAGAAGATGGTTCCCCTGCTCAACAAGAACAACCCTAAGTTTTTGGCCATCACCACTGATTGCCTGCAGCTTCTGGCCTATGGCAACCAGGAGAGCAAGGTGGGTCTCTCTGCCAAGGCCTGCAGCATACCTCTGTATCAGAGGCTTCAGGCCACTGCCCGCCTCCAGTGCTTTGAGAAGACATATCTGTGTGTGTAGGTGAATGTGGTACTTGTCCCATTTTTGAATTCCTCAGAATTAGTTTTTTTTTAAATTTTTAAAAAAATGTATTTCTATTTTATGTGTATGAGTGTTATGCCTGTGTGTAAGTGCACCCATGTCATGCAGTGCCCAAGGAGGACAGAAGAGGGCGGTGGATTCCCCTGGAACTGGAATAACACTCATACACATGACAATTGGAGTTACAGTTTTGTTAGCCACCATGTGGATCCTGGGAATCAAACCTGGTCCTCTGCAAGAACAACCAGTGCTCTTAACCACTGAACCATCTTTCCAACCCCAGAATTAGTATTTTGAGGATAAGAAAAAAAATAGGGCTGGGGATGTAACTCAGTGGTAGAATATTTTCTTAACATGCTGAAGGCCCTGAGTTCAATCCCCAGTATTGAGAGAAAAAAAGCAAGAATGATAAAATTTAGTTCTCATGTATCTGCTGTTGTCACGTTGATGTGCATATTTATAAATGTACACACCAGCTGTGGGTGTGTGTAGTTATCTTAACCACTGAACCACCTCTCCAGCCCCCTGAGGTCAAACTCTTGATCTCACCTTGGCCTCCCAACTACTGGGATTTCAGGTGTGCACCACCATATGTGCCAGGGCTAAATGTTTTTAGCACTTCTAGACTTTTACTCAGCAGGTCAGATCTCTTTCCAAAGGGAGTATAGTACATTACGCTACCATCAGTGGTAATGGCTGAGTTCACTCATGTCTGTCACATCTTTGCCAGCATTTTCTCAAGATTTTGGCTTATTTGATAGTGAAAAAAGCTATTCAGGCTTTAATGGAAACTTAATAATGAGAACTCTATCACACCTACCCCACATCTGACATCTCACACTTACTCTCCCTCTCCCCACAGTTGATCATCCTGGCCAATGGGGGGCCCCAGGCGCTCGTGCAGATCATGAGGAGCTACAGCTATGAGAAACTGCTCTGGACCACCAGCCGTGTGCTCAAGGTGCTCTCCGTGTGTCCCAGCAATAAGCCTGCCATCGTGGAGGCTGGTGAGTGTGAGAGCCTCATGGTGGCCAGTGGGGGTCTGAGAGATGGCTCAGCAATTAAGAGTGCTTGCTGTCTGCTCTTCCAGAAGACCATAGTTCTGTTCCCAGCACAACATTAGGCAGTTCACAACCCCCTGTAACTCCAGCTCCTGGGGATCCAGTGCCCTGCTCTGGCCTCCAATGGTGCCTGCACACACATAGACATAAATACAAAGAAATCTTAAGGGCTGGGTGTGGTGGTGCATGTGTTTGATCCCAGCTCTCGAAAGGCAGAGGCAGGCAGATCTCTACGAGATCAAGGCTAGCCTGGTCACTCACATGGTGGGTTCCAGGCCAGCTGGGGCTACAGGGAGACCCTTTCTCAAAAACAAAACAAACCAAAAAAAGAGTGACCTGTAGCATCAGGAGGATCAGGGTGGAGCCCCTGCCTAGCAGCCAGGTATAGTCAGCCTGACTCCCGTGATGTTGACAAGACTCTGTTCCCCTCCCCAGGTGGGATGCAGGCTCTGGGCAAGCACCTGACAAGCAACAGCCCCCGTCTGGTGCAGAACTGCCTGTGGACCCTGCGCAATCTCTCGGATGTGGCCACCAAGCAGGTGAGAGAGGAGTCCAGGCCTGGGCCAGTCTTTTAAACCACGTTGTCAGCCTCCCATCCAGGCATCTGACCTCTGGAGCCTATGAGTTCTTCTCCATTGTGGCTGAGGCTAGAAAGACCTGAAAGGTCATCAATATCTTCAATGGGAGGCTCCCACCTTACTAAGGGTTCAGGAAGGGAAGAGGAAAGGGCTGACATCTTTAAACTGGGGTTTAGGTAGCAACAATGGAACAATTTGGGACTAAGCCCTTGGGACAGGAGCAGGAGTGTCGCATAAGACAGCTCTGGGACTCAAGTGGCACAAAACTCAACTAGAGGGAACTGCAGCTTCAGGCCAAGTCCCCAGAACTTCCTACCAAACAGGCCACTGTCCCTGTGCCTACCCATCACCACATCCTGGACTAAGCATCCTCCAATGGGCTGATACTTTGCATGGCTCTGTGGATGTGAGCTCACTTAATCCTTTCAGCAACCTGAAGGGGGAATGTGCAACTCCATTTGTTGTGGAAGAAACTGAGACCCTGAGAGTTAGGAAAAAGCCCATGTCAGAGCCAGTAAATAAGAGAGCTGGGATTCTGTGTCTCTAAAACCTTGGGCCTTTATGACCCAATACGCGCCCCACACGACTCTCCTTCCGAGAAAGGAAACTTCTGAATTTCTGAATTCCACACGACTCTCCTTCTGAGAAAGGAAACTTCTGAATTTGGGATTTTTTTCTTGGGGGTGGATTTAGCTTGGGGAGCCCTGGTGGGACGGCAAAGGCCCTGCAAGGTTAGAAGTGTGTGTGGGCCAGCTGACCACTGAAACCTGTGGCCTCCTTAGAAACTTCCTCTTGGCTCCGAGGCATCCTGTAGCCAACAGGGAGCTGATGGATGGGGTAAAGGAAAAAGCACAGGCTTAGAGGCAGGCCTGCAGCTCTGAATCTGTGAACAGGCCTCCAAACTTTCCTAGCCTCATGGCCTTACTGCTCCAGGGACTAGTAACACCAACCCCCAGGCAGGTCATGGGATGAAGATTCCGTCTCATAAAGGTAGAGCCGAGCTCTTCAGGCTATCTCCTTCCCCTTGGACCTACTGGTGATGTTTGGATGCTGGCGTGTCCCTTACTTTCCATGCTGTCCTTGTCTTAGGAGGGCCTGGAGAGTGTGCTGAAGGTCCTGGTCAACCAGCTGAGTGTGGATGATGTCAACGTCCTTACCTGTGCCACAGGCACCCTCTCCAACCTGACCTGCAACAACAGCAAAAACAAGACACTGGTAACACAGAACAGTGGTGTGGAGGCGCTCATCCATGCCATCCTGCGTGCTGGTGACAAGGATGATATCACAGAGCCTGCTGTCTGTGCCCTGCGCCACCTCACCAGCCGCCATCCTGAGGCTGAGATGGCCCAGAACTCTGTGCGCCTCAACTACGGCATCCCAGCCATTGTCAAATTGCTCAACCAGCCCAACCAGTGGCCACTGGTCAAGGTACTCACGACTGGCCATGGCCACTGCTGTGAGGATTAGATTGGGGTGGGGGGCTGTGCAAGGTTGCAGGACTGCTGTAGGCTCAGATAACAGAAATTTGTGTAGTTCTCATATAGCAGTTTCCATTTCAACACTGTCTCTACTCTAGAGACCCAGATTCTTTTTTTATCTTTTTGTCGTAGTAGTTGTTGTTGTTTTGAGACAGGGTCTCACTATGTAGCCCTGACTAGCCTGGAACTTGCTATGTAGACCAGGCTGACCTAGAACTCACAGAGATGCCTGCTTCTGTCTCCTAAGTGTTGAGATTAAAGGTGTGCAACACCTTTTATCTGTTTTTTTGAGATATTTTTTTTTGACATGTAGCCCAGGCTGGCCTTAAACTTGCCGTCCTCCTGCCTCTAGCTCTTGAGTGCTGAGATTACAGGCATGTATCACTTCAACCAGCTAGATCCAGATTTCGAAGAAACACTAGACCCTGTTTCAAATGGGGTCTCATGTAGTCCAGGCCAGCCTTGAATTCACTGTGTACTACCATGCCTGGTTTATGCAGTGCTGGGCATCCATTCTGGGGCCTCATGATGCTAGGCAAGCACTCTACCAACTGAACTATATGTCCAAATTCTTTCTGTCCTATGCCTGCAGAGCCAGAGCAGAGCTTCTCAAAGTTCTGCCTACCTGTGCATCTTCAAAGGTCTTGTTACACTATGGTGTCATTGCAGTGGGTCTGGGATTCTGCATTTCTCACAAGCTCCAGGGAGCACTGGTGCTCATAGAGCACATTCCTATACCAGAGGGTCTAGAGGGGACTGTTGCCCTCCCATAAGTGGCTGGACTGTAACATTACCACGTGTGTCCTAGCCCTAGAGAAGTGGGGAGAGATGGGTGCCACCAGAAAATGGGAAACATCAGTGGCTCAGTCCCCAGAACCTGGCCATTAGGTCACATTGAGCTGCAAGGAGGTTAGAAAGTGTGACTGCTAGAAGACCATCTGTCCTGCTGAAACTCAAGACAGGTACAGAATAATAAGCGAAAGATTGGATTCTGGGGACACTCTGTTCCTGCCATAGGGAGTCAGAAATGTGAGGGGCCTTGTCAGGGGTGCCTGGAAGAGGTGTGAATGATGTCTCCCAATGCAGTAGGGCAGGCAAAATGGACAGAATTATGTGGGTGTGTGTATCTGTCTGTCTGCCTGCTTATCTGGTTGTAGAAACACAGAAAAGAACCCAAGCAAAATGATATCTGGTCACATCTTGTCAATGGGTATACAAGCCAGCTGTGGGCAGCTTGATCTAGCTAAAATGTAGGCAGTTTAACAGTGCAGATAGGAATGACACCAAGTGTCCACAATTGGTGGAGCACAAGTTCAAGGTCATATTCAGGTACATAGCAAGTTCAAGGGCTAAGTTATGTTAGACCCTGTCTCAAAAAAATAAAAAGGAAGATGGGGGAGGTAGAGGGCTGGTGAGATGACCAGCCTGACAATCTGAATCTGGGTTCGGTCCCCTGGACCCACATGGTAGAAGGACGGAACAGATTCACCCAAGTTGTCCTCTGACCTCCACACATGTGCTGTGGCACACTCATGCCCACACACATACACACTAAATACATAAATAAATTTAAAAATATAAACTCTGCCAGGTGTGGTGGCGCATGCCTTGAATCCCAGCATTCAGGAAGCAGAGACAGGTGGATCTCTGTGCAATCAAGGTCAGCCTGGCTGGGGCTATAGGGAGATCCTGTCTCAAAAATATAAAACAAAATTAAATAAAAATAGAAGTTCAACCTCAGCTACATAACAAATTGGAGGCCAGCCTGGGCTACATGAAACACTGTCAAATAAAAAAAAAGGGACTGGAGAAATGGTTTAGTGTTTAAAAGCATGTACTACTCTTCCTGAGGACCTGAGTTGAATTCCCAGTTCCCAGGTCAGGTAGCTCACAACCACCTGTAACTCCATTTCCAGGGGATCCAGCACCCTCTTCTGGACTCTGAGGGCATCTGTACTCACACATGCAATACATACACAGAGACATATACTTAATTAATAAAAATAATAAATCTTTTTAAAAAATAGGAGGGAGGAAAGAAAGAAAAAAGAAAGGAAAAAAGGAGAAAGAAAGAAAAGTAAAAAAGAAAGGGCAGGCATGGCGGCACATACTTTTAATCCCAGCACTTGCAAGATAGATCTCTTGAGCTGGAGGCCAGCCTGATCTACATAGTGAGTTCTAGGCTAGCCAGTGCTACATAGTGAGACCCTGTCTCAAAAAACAGACAAACAAAGGAAGAAAGAAAGGAGAAAAATAGAAAGAGAGCCTTCATCCTGGGCTGATGGGGTTCCGTGGAGAAGGCTTGCCTCACATGTGCAAGGCCCTGTTAGAGTCAGACATCTGGATCCTCAGGTCTTATGGAATCAGGGACCTGGGCTTGGGGTGGTTTCATTCTCTGGACATCTTCCAATATGTCTATGTCCAACCTGGGATGCAGAAGGGATGATAGGCGATAAAATACCTGAAGCTGGGGCTCTAGGATCCTTAGATGTCCAAGGAATGCCCCTGATTGCTGCCCCCTTTCCTTGCCAGGCAACCATCGGCCTGATCCGGAATCTGGCCCTGTGCCCAGCCAACCATGCCCCACTGCAGGAGGCAGCGGTTATTCCCCGCCTTGTCCAGCTGCTGGTCAAGGCCCATCAGGATGCCCAGCGCCATGTGGCTGCAGGTACCCAACAGCCTTACACGGTGAGTGAGCTTAGTGGCAGCTGAGATGGCATCCTTTGGGGGTCAGCATGTCTTAAGAGTGTATGTGTGGATAGGAGGGGGTAAGTTGGGATTGGTGCCAACTCCAAGGACCAGTGATTTGTGTTATGGTCATGGTTGGGGGAGAGTCCAAAGGCCACCTTTTGCCATGCTTTATGCCTCCTCTCATGCAGGATGGTGTGAGGATGGAGGAGATCGTGGAGGGCTGCACCGGAGCTCTGCACATCCTTGCCCGGGATCCGATGAACCGCATGGAGATCTTCCGGCTCAACACCATTCCCCTGTTTGTACAGGTGAGTCTGGGGCAGGTGGGCAGAGGAGATCTATCCCTAGATGATACTACCAAGAGGAGTCTGGGATATGTGGGCCAGGCATGCTAGCTCTGTGAAGGGGAGTGGATGGATGACTTTCCAAGCTTAGAAGTGAGGGAGGGGGCTGGAGAGATGGCTCAGCAGTTAAGAACACTTGCTGTTCTTCCAATGACAAGGGTTCAATTCCCAGCACCCACATGGCAGCTCACAACCGTCCTTAACTCCAGTTCTAGGGGATCTGACACCATCTTCTGGCTTTTGCAGGCATTGCATGCACATGGTGCACTTACATACCTTCAGGCAAAACACTCATACACATAAAATAAAAATGGCAAATTAAGTTTTTCTTTTAAATGTGAGGGAGGAGATCACAAATGAGAAAGAACACTCTTGAGATTCATCACACAGACATTAAAAACATCTGCATGTACGAAGCAATCTGAAAAGCACAAACTAGAAAAATAGGCGCAAGTGCCAGAGCAGACAGAAAGGGCTCATTCACAGTGCATGCCAGCAGTGCAATGCGGACTGTGGCGACAAGTGGGTCCCCAGGAGGCTCATGAGCAAACAGTGCTCAGCTCAGGGATTTAAAGAAGTGAAACTTACCCCCCAATGAGAACCCATTTTTCCCACTGTTAAATTGGCCAAGGAAGATCCTTGGGGGCTGAATGAAATGGGCAGTCTTGTGCTCCGCTGGTGGGAAAGGCAGTCTGGAAGCCCCTGTTGCAATCTGTAGAGAGTCTAGGAAATATTCATATCCTTCGACGCACTAATTCAAATCTGAGACTCTCTTGGTTAAATAATAAATGGACATAGATTTAAACACAGAGATAACAACTGTAGATGTAATTTTTAAAAACAAACAGCACTTCCAATGATAAGGAAATGGTTTCAAAACAAACAGTTGGGTGTGGTGGCACATGCCTGTAATTCCAACACTCTGGAAGTGGAGACAGGAGGATCGGCAGTGCCGGGCCAGCCTGGACTACACAGTGAGTTCAAGGCTAGCCTCGGCTACATGAAGCCCTGTCTTAAGAAAAAAGGAATGGCAGGGCAGAGGCTGAGGCTGAGCCTGACACTGGAGGATTGGCAGCAAGACAGTCTTGGCCGATAGCTAGACCTTACTTTTCAAAACAAATAGAAGAATGGTTTGAGACTGGGTGGTGGCGCACGCCTTTAATCCTAGCACTCTGGAGGCAGAGGCAGGCAGATCTCTGTGAGCTCAAGGCCAGCCTGGTCTATGTAGTGAGTTCCAGGACAGCTGGGGCTGCAGGGAGACCCTGTCTCAAAAAGAAAAAAAAAAAGGTTTATTAAGTCACCTTGCCATATGCAGTGATGCTTAAGAACATTTTTTCTTTTGTGACACTGGCGATTGAACCAAGGACCTGTGCGTGCTTGGAGGAATGAACTCCCCCAGCCCAATACAAATTTTTTTATTTTTGAAATTTTTTCCTTTTATTAGGTTTTCAGAGTAAAGACCTTGTCCCATTCTACCATCAATGGTGACTGACTTTATTTTGCTTTATTTTACTTCTTAGCGTCTTTTTTCTCCTATCCATATGAACTCACAGTTTCTATGTTTGTTATTTGTTTGTTTGTTTGTTTGTGAGAATGGGTCTTCCTGTGGACACAGCTGGCCTAGAACTCCCTGTGTAGACCAGGCTGGCCTTGATCTCATAGAGATCCATCTGCCTCTGCCTCTGCCTCCCAAGTGCTGGGAATAAAGATGTGTGCCACCACACCCGGCTGAACTCATAGGTTTTTAGGACAGTTTTTGAAGTAATATACAGGAAAATGACTTATTCTATCATGGCAGGGGAAAAAGGAGGACTCAGGACTATCCATAGTGGGGCTGGGGAAATGTCTCAGTCAGTAGAATATTTGTTGTGCAACCATGAGGACCTGCGTTCGGATCCCCAGAGCTCATGTGGAAAAGCTAGGTGCAGCAGTGTTTTTGTAACCCCAGTGTTGGGATGAGTGGAGACTAGCCAAGGGGGGGAATAAGTCCAGTGGGATACCCTGTCTCAAAAAATAAATAAACAAAATAAGGTAAAGAAGCAATTGAGGAAAACATCTAACTTTAACTTCTGACGTACACATACCTACATGCACATCTGCTCAAACATATACACATACACCACTCACATGCACACATACGCATAAAAATATCTATGGGTCATAATCCTTGGACTGTGATAAAGATACTGGGAACCTGCCACTGTGGAAGAGGCTGGGTCTGATTAGGGAAGTGTGGCTGGTCTGCATTTTCCCCTTTCTTTATGCTTTCCTGGGATGTCCACGTTTTTCTAGTATAAGCCAAATGGGACAGTGCTACGCAGGACTGTGGGTATGCTGCCCAGGTTACCTCACTCCTCGGCCCCACCCTACCTACCCATGTCCCTCTCCCAGCTCCTGTACTCGTCTGTGGAGAACATCCAGCGTGTGGCTGCCGGGGTGCTGTGCGAGCTGGCCCAAGACAAGGAGGCGGCAGATGCCATTGATGCCGAGGGCGCCTCGGCCCCTCTCATGGAACTGCTCCACTCCCGCAATGAGGGCACTGGTGAGGGCCGTGTTGTGAGTGGGCATGGGAGGAGAAGGCTGGCCCTGTCTCTCCAGTAGAGGGAGCCTCTGACTTGGACTTAACGTTGCCCTCCATTCAGCAACCTATGCTGCTGCTGTCCTGTTCCGCATCTCCGAGGACAAGAACCCAGATTATCGTAAGCGTGTGTCTGTGGAACTCACCAACTCCCTCTTCAAGCATGACCCGGCTGCCTGGGAGGCTGTGAGTATCTGGTTGAATGGCGATATTGGGCTGTGCACTGCACACTGCACAAGGGCAGCTCTTTGTGAGAGGCTTAATTAGTTTTCAGGGTTTGTGTATTGTTTTTTTAAACAGGTTCTCATATTGCCCAGTCTGAACTTCATGATCTTCCTGTTTCCACCTCCTAGGTGCTGGGATTACAGACATGGGTTATTACCGTGTCTGTTTAATGGCTAGTTTTTTTTTTTTTTTTTTTTTTTTTTTTTTTTGAGATAAGGCCTCACTATCTAGCCCTGGCTAACCTGGAACTCTTTATGTAGACCAGGCTGGCCTCACCTCAAACTCACAGAGATTCACTGCCTCTGCCTTTTTTTTTTTTTTTTGGTCTTTTTGAGACAGGGTCTCCTTGTAGCCCCAGTGGTCCTAGAACTCACTATGTAGACCAGGCTGGCCTTGAACTCACAGAGATCCACCTGCCTCTGCCTCCTAAGTGCTGGGACTACAGGCGTGCGCCACCACGCCTGGCTGCCTCTGCCTTTTTTTAAAAAATATTTTATTTATTATTTTTATTTTATGTGTATGAGTGTATTGCCTCCATGTATGTGAGAAGAGGGTGTCGGATCCCTTGGAACTGGAGTTATGGATGGTTGTTAGCTGCCATGTGGGTGCTGGGAATAGAACCCAGATCCACTGAAACAGCAGTGACTGCTCAGTGATCACTGAGCTATTTCACCAGCCTGGCCTCTGCCTTCTGAGTGCTGGGATTAGAGGAATGGTGACTGAGGCTTGTACCACCATGTACTGCAAGGATGGGCATTTGTGTGTGTGTGTGTGCTGGGGATGGAACCCAGGACCTTGGGCATGTTAGGTGGGTATTTGCCACTGAGCTACACCTAACCCAGGCTTGTCTTGTTCTAAGTTGCACACTGGTGCTGTGTAGCAAGCCACAACCTGTCTCTGTCCTCTTTCCTCCATTCCTTCCCCAGAGCTGCTTCGGCTTGGGGAGGTGCCTGAGGACATGCATGCATTCTCTTCTCTGAGGGACCTCCTGACCCCTTATTTGGGAGTACCTGTCTGCCCTTGGAGGAGAGCCAGCCCAGAAGGGTATTCTCATACCTCCCATGTCTCTCTGTCCTTCCCCAGGCCCAGAGCATGATCCCCATCAACGAACCCTATGCAGATGGTAAGTATGAGGAGCTCTGCTACCTCAGAGCCTGGGAGCTATGCAGGTGAGAGGAAGGGTCAGACACTCTGGTAGCCACTGTGTGGTCTCAACCTGTGCTGCCGTCTAGATCCCTCCATGGTAGGAGTGTGTGTATATGGGGAGAGAGTTAGGTTGCTAGCAGTGGGTAGAGGTGGAGGAGGTGACTATGGGCTGGCTGCCCTGCCCCTCCCTACCACCATGGGTAGCCTGCAGACCCCAGGACAAGTTCTTCTTCTCCTCAGACATGGATGCCACCTACCGCCCCATGTACTCCAGCGATGTACCCCTCGACCCCCTGGATATGCACATGGACATAGATGGAGACTACCCCATGGACACCTACAGCGATGGCCTGAGGCCCCCCTACCCTACTGCGGACCACATGTTGGCCTAGCCGGCTCCACCTCAGTACGGCCCCTCCCTGCCTTGCAGCCCACCCTCTGCCTATAGCTGTGGCTGCAGTGGCACCTGGTTCTCTCTCTGTCTCTGTTTCTTTCTCTCTGAATATTCTGATAGAGCCTTTCTATGCTCTGCTATAAACTTGGCTCATTTTTTGAGGAAGGACTGTAAGAGTCCTGTTTTTTTTTAATTTAAAAAAATTTTAATTGTATGTATATGTGTGTATCTATGTAGGTTTATGCACGTGAGTGCAAGTGCCTGCAGAAGCCAGAGGTGTCAGGTTCATCAGGAGCTGGAGTTATAAAGTGGTTGTGAGCCGCCTGATATGGTTGCTGGGAACTGAACTCAGGTCCTCTGGAAGAGTAGTACGTGCTCTTAACTGCTGAGCCCCAGTCCTGTGTTTTTGATTTTCCTCAAATAAGCGTGCTCTGGCTTGCTTTATTGTGTTTTGTTTTGTTTTGAGACAGGGTCTCACTATGTAGCCCTGGCTGGCTTGGAATTCCCTATGTACACCAGGCTGGCCTTGAATCTGCAGAGATTCTCCTTCCTCTGCTATCAAGTGCTGGGATTAGAGGCGTGCACCCATGCTCAGCATCATCATCATCGAGACAGGATTTTTTTTTTTTTACTTTGTAGCCAGAACTGGACTAGGACTCACTATAGCCCAAGATAGCCTCAGATTGTAAGGAGGCTTTCTCCCTACCTTAGCCTCCTGAATGCTGGGGTTATAGGTGTGCATCACTGTGCCTGGTGCTACCTTTTTCTTTTCTTTTTTTTTTTTTTTTTGTGACACTGGGAGTTGAACATGGAGTCTTGTGGATGCTAGGCAAAGTGCCCTACCACTAAGCTGCATCCCTAGCCCTTGTTTTACCTTTAATTTTGAGATGGGGTCTCACTAAACTGTCTAAGCTGTTGAACTCAGTTGGGAGCCCAAGCACGCCTTGAACATGCAATCTTCCTGCCCACGTTCCTAAGTAGCTGGGGTGACAGGCCTGTACTGCTGGGCTTGGCTCCCCATTTTCTTGCCCCTTTGATATCCTACTCTTTCAGCTACTTCTGAGGAAAGATCATCATTGTTCTGGGATAGTAGAAGCTGAGCTTCTGCGGGATGCCAGCCTGCTGAGCCCCTGACCCCTGTATCTGTGCCCTCTACAGGAACTGTTCCTTACCTGGGAAGCTGTCAAGCAGGCTGTGGGATGAGACAGAAAAGTGCCTGAGCCGTGGGAGCCAGCCTCGACTTCCTGCTGAGCCCATGCTCCAGAGGGTTCCTCCGTAGGGTTTCTTGGGATGGTCTTCTGCTTTTGCCACCCTCTCCCTGTCCCTATGGCTCTGGCCACTAAAGCTTTAGACTCAGCCTGTGTCCCTCCACAATACCCCTCTCTGCCCATCTCCAGGGTCTCCAGGGCTTCCATTTTTTCTGGGGCTGATTTTCTCACTGAACTCCAGCATCTGAATGCCCTGACCTCTCAGGGTATATAAGACCAAGGTTCAAGACCCAAAGCCCCAACATCCAAAGCTTCTCTTGAAAAGTTGAGGGACCTTCCAGGAGAATGGAAGATGGAGATTCTGTGAGACAGCGCCCCCTGCAGGAGTGGTACCTCTCTCCAGGATGCTAAGTCTGCTTTGCCTCTCCCCTGGGGAGCTCTAGGAACAGCTCTCTCCAACCCTGCCCCACACTGGCCCAGCTGATCTGCAGAAGTGCTCTTGCTGACCCCTCTGGTGTGTGGTGAGGGGCTTTTTTCTTCTCCTTCCTGTTTTAGACCCACTGCACATGGGTGTGGGGGGCGGCGGGAGGAAGAGACCCAACAGAGAGTTTTATGATCGCTTTATGTTGGTTATTGGTTTTCTTTTTTTTTGTATAGACCAAAGCAAAGAAAATAAAATAACACACAGATCCAATGGAGGCTGTTAAGTGCTGTCTATAGGGGAGGCAAGGGGGGATGGGCAGGGCTTCCCTAGTGGCCTGTGTTTCCTTGGCTGGATCCTGCATGTCCTCATGACTGGGTGAGGCAAGTAGGGAGAATGGAATGTCCATTTACTCCCATATCCACTCGGAACCTTAGAAGGGGAGGACATGGGGATAGGTGACTGAAGAGGCCCTGCTTTAGGAACGCCAGGCTGTTATTTAGGGACCTCAGCCTCTGGTGCAGCTCTGCCGTCCGGCTGTAATGGTGGATGTGACAGATGTCTCTCGTATTTAAGCTCTCTGTGATCTCTGACTTGGGGGTCCAGGCTTCTTGTTGGTCTGTAGTGGGCCCACTCCCGCGCCTGTCCACCTCTCCCCTGCTCACAGTGCTCAGGAACACCAGTGGCAGTCAGCACCCTGTAAGCACCCTGTAAGCTCTCTCATGCCTCCCAGTCTTTGCTCACTCTGTTCCCCCATGGCATCCAGCTCAGACTTGTCACAAGAGTTCTCCAGCCAGGCTGAGCCTGGCACCTTCTTTCATGCTACCGATGCCTTCCTGGAAACAGCTGTCATTTCACCCAGCACATGTGACACGTCCCCCACCTGCAATTCCTAAATTCTCCTTTCGGTGGTTGGCTGGTCACACTGCACCCAGCAAAGTGGAGAATGGGAAATTCCTGTGCACCTGCTCCTGCAGGGCCTGACACCTGCTTCTTACACCTGCCTGGGGCCCAGGCCAGGGCCTGAGGTTCACAGAGCACTGGTGTGCCACCCTACTGCCCCAATGCCTGCTCAGCCTACCGTAAGTGAAAATGAAATGAGAAAGTGCAGGAATTCTAGGCAGGAAGAAAGGAACTGAGGTGAGGCAGGAGCCCAATCAGGAGCTGGCTGTGCTATCAGGCACGGGTGAGAAGACATAGCCGAGCTCCAGGGGAGGGAAGAGGAAACACAGTATTCAGAGATCACACAAGGAGGCCATTTAACAATGCTTTTTTATCTGTGCGCCATGATCAGGCGCACTGATTGGGTAATCTGAGGAGAATCTGATACATGGATAATGTTCAACACTGCAGGTACAGGAAACAGCGAAGAGGCCAACACCTGAAGCTTGAGGCAGGGCAGAAGGATTGACTGGGCATGGGGGATCCAGCAGGATCCTAGATGTGGCAAATACTCCTGGTGAGACAAGCTGGAACCTCATTCCCTCCAACTAGTGCTGCCTGTTAGCTGAACCATGTAGAAAACAAATAGTCTGCTCATGTTATTTCCAGCTGCCCGGCACAGAGCAGAGAGATAGTAGAGATATTGACGAAGACACGCAGCAGACTAGCCACCCCCGTTTTTCCAAAAGAGAATGTGAGATGGTTTTCAAGGAGGATTTGCAATCTCTAGCCCCATAACAGGCAATGAGGGAAAAGACGAGATGGCAAAGCCTCTGCAGAATGTTTGAAGGTTAATTCCAGCCTTGATTGAGCTAGACCTCTGAGCTTCCCAGCAGCCTGGCCAAAAAAGGCCAGTTGATCTCAGTAGCATTGATTATCTTTCCACCTTCGTGCAGGAGATGTCTACAACCTTCAGAAGTCAGTTCATTTCTTTGGGCCTTTACTTTCTTATCTATAAAATAGGGCTAGAGCTGAGATGTAACTCAGTGTAGAGCATAAGTGAGCATGTGCAAGGCTCTGGGGTCCCCACACTTAGGAGGAACCATGCCTGCCTTGCTGGCCAAATGTGATGATGAAATGAGAAATTTCAGGCAGAAGGGGAAAGGGCAAACCTGATTCCCACAGATTTTGCTTGGATTTTGAAGAGACATCTACTCCAAGGCACACCTGGTGTTAACTGGGTCTGTGCTGTGTAACCAACCTTTCTGCTGAAGAGTTTTGGAAGTGCCAAGTATTCCATCTGCATGCAGTGCCCCTTGGTGAATGTCAGGGCTCTGACAGTAGCTGGAGGCAGAAGACTCTGGATAGATAACCACCGTGGCCTGGCACAGAGAAGGATGAGTCTCACTAGCTGACTGCATTTTTTTGTGGGTGGCTTGGTCAGGGAAGCAGTGGAGGAACTGAGTAAGTGGGTGTCCTCAAAACAGAAGGTGATACCTAGACTTGGGTCACATGTCAGACAAGTTGGAGCAGCTGTCACCAAGGAACAGAAAACCCTGTGCTGTGGGTCTGGAGGGAGGGAGCCGGTATCACCCACCACAGGCACCATTTCCACAACAGCAGAATCACACCTATCAAAATGGCAGGTGCCGGGACTGGAGAGATGGCTCAGGGTTAAGAACACTGGCTGTTCTTGCGGAAGACCTGGGTTCAATTCCCAGCACCCACATGGTGGCTAACAACTGTAACTCCAATTCCAGGGTGTCCAATGCCCTCTTCTGGCCTCTCTGGGCATTGCATGACACAGGTGCACTTACGTAGATGCAGGCAAAACACACACATAAGGTATAAATAAATAAATAAATAAATAAATAAATAAATAAAGCAAGCTGGGTATAGTGGCTACATGCCTTTAATTCCAGCACTTGGGAGGCAGAGGCAGGCAGATCTCTGTGAGTTCAAGGCCAGCCTGGTCTATGTAGTGAGTTACAGGCTAGCTAGGGTTATAGGGAGGCCCTGTCTCAAAAAGACCCAAAAAGGGGTTGGGGATTTAGCTCAGTGGTAGAGCACTTGCCTAACAAACGCAAGGGCCTGAAAAAAAAAAAAAGTTAAAAATAAATAAAATTTAACAAAAAAGAAAGTATATAACTTGATCTAAACAAGCTACATTATCTAGGAATTAATTAGCTGGATCCTAAACCTTAAAGTTTGACCTAAAACATCTATGTTCATACAGAATATGAAATTATGCTATACACAAGACATGGGCACTATTTGAGAAATTCAGTTGACTCCCAAGCTCACAATAACATGTATCCAGGTGTGGTAACAAACCCCTATTATCCCAGAATTCAGGAGATTGAGGCAGGAAGATCATAAATTCCAGAAAAACATAGTAAATAAGATATATGTACAGACTCATTGACACACAACTATTATCCCAGCACTTGAACAAAAGGTAGAGGCAGGGACTAGACAGATGGCTCTAGTGGTAAAGAATGCTTTCTGCTGTTACAGAGGGCCTGAGCTAAGTTCCCAGCTCAACCACCTGCAACTCTAGCCCCAGGGGATCTGATGCACTCTTTTGACCTCCATAGGCACCTGTACACATGTGGCAGACACATACATAAATAACAAAATAAATCTTTGAAAAAAGATGGAGGCAGGAGGATCATGAGTTTGAGGTCACCCTTGGCTTCATAGCAAATTTAAGGCCAGCATGAGTTACATGAGACTCTTGTCTCCAAAGACAGAGAAAGAAAGATACACACACGTATCTGTATGTCATACATATATATTAATACATGAGATTTGTTATGAGCTGTATTATAAGCAACTGATGATGGAGGCTGCAAAGCCCCAGGGTTTGCTGTTTGCAAGCCAGAGACTGAGAAATGAGTGATATCATTTTGTCCAAGTCCTCTGTAGGCCTGAGAACTGGGAGCCCTTGTCAGAAGTGCCAGTCTGGGGGCAGGAGGAGACAAGATGAGATGTCTTGGCTTAAACAGTGAGGAGGAAAAGGGCAAATTCCTTCCTCTGCCCTTTGTTCTATTTAGGCCAGCTGGAAGCTGCCTGCCCACACAGCGCAGCAATCTACTGAGTCCCTGGACTTGAACTCTTGTCCCTCATTCCCTTCTTCTTTCAATGGTGTTCTAGGGAATTGTGACACCCACTGTCCTTGTCTTCCAGTGGGAAAGGGACAGTAAGCCATCCCAGCAGAGCAGGTGTGAGCGGCGTTGTGCTTCCGGGGCCTGGGAGTCAGCGGTGGGGTGATTCCAAGCCAGGAAGGAATGATGATGTCTACATCCAAGGGGAATAAGCTCCCTGGGCAGCAGGGAGATCATTGGTACCTCCTAAGGCAAAGCAGGAAATACTGAGGCCCTGACAGAGTGGAGAGAATGGGAAGGGACAGTGGGTTCCCATGCCACCGACGGTGTGGATTCTGACTCTGGAGACTGTGGGGGTGGGAGCCACTGCCTGGGTTTTCTCTGGATGGCATGGCGATCTCCTAAGGGTGAAGCTATCCTGGGGCCATTCTTGGAGAACCACTAGGAACTGGTCTTTCTCATCCTTACCTCAGGCCCCTTTTTGTGCCTTGCCCTGTGCTTAGTGATTCATCCAAAATGACCTTGAAATAGACAGATAAACCTTTTTCTTTTCTTTTTTTTCTCCTCCCTCCCTCCCTCCCTCCCTCCCTCCCTTCCTTCCTTCCTTCTTTCCTTCCTTCCTTCCTTCCCTCTCCCTTCCTCTCCTTTCTCTGGTGCTTTGAGGCAAGGCCTCATGTCAATGCCTGGAAGTCACAATGTAGTTGAGCTGTAGATCG